TGGTATCAAAGTGGCTCTTGGAAATCCATGCAATGTGACAAGACTCATGAAACCATTAAGGGAAGTGAGGAAGTGTGGGTGATAAGAAACTGGGGTGCTAAAACATCTTGATGCAGGAGGGAGGTCGCAGGCCTGGGCAAGCCCAGTGGAAGCTTCGCTGCTGTGGCCAGTGGTGGCCGCCACAGAGCTCGTCCTTCCGGGCTGAGAGACAGCCATTCAGTGCTTGGGGCTGAGTGTCAGGGGGGCTGCTGGCTGTGGGCCCTGCTCCCCACATCCTGGGCTGGGAGACCCCCCAGGCGCAGAGCCTCCAGCCCTCCTCCTGGGGCCAGGAAGCCCTCTGCAAACGGAAGCTGGTGCAGCCTCTGCCTGCCGCCTGCCTGGGGCACGGAGGTCCCCCAAGGTGCTGGGTACCCCCTTGGCCCGTGTCCGCAGTCCCACCCTCCACCCTGCCCCTGCTCTTTTTCAGGCCTCAAGCGCCCTCATCAGAGCTACGGGTCCTCCCCTTGCCGGAAGCAGAGCAAGAAGCAGCAGCTAGGTGGGTGCCAGGGCGGGGCGGGACCCGGACGTGGGGATGGGGTTGCCTCGCAGCCAGGACGCGGACTCTGGATGCTGTCCCCTGCCAACAAGCCTCCAGGGTCCCAGTGACTCTCCACGTCCAAGCTTCCAGGGTCGAAGGGTCAGAGGTCCTGGCGATCACAGGAGAGGGCCGGGTGGCAGGGAAGGGCGTCCCCCGCCAGGCTGCAAGGGACTTCTCCAACAACGGCTCCGCGGAAGGAGCCGGCCACACCGCAGCAGGCTCTGCCAGGGACACCCTGTGTCCTCAGGGCTGAGGAAGCCCCAGGCAGGGGACCAGCATGGCCAGTTTGGGGGGTGAGCAGGGATGGAGAGTGATGCGGATGCCTGGGCGAACCCTAAGAAGAGGCCCTGGGGGCCCACGGGGGGACATGGGGCTGCAAAGGGCTGGCCATGTCGGGGGGCGGAGGGGAGAGAGAACTTCTTTTGTTCTTGACCAGTCGTCCGGAATGTTCCGTGTTCTCGGCTGGTTGTCCTACTAACTGGAACTCTCCCCACCCCCACCACTGCCAACCATTGGGCGTAACCAGAGGACTCACACCTGTACAAAACAGGCCACCACCTCAGCCACCTCCCCAGTCTCCCCTAACGGTGGTCCTAGTCCTTCCCCTGGGCTACCTGAGACCTCCCAGTGACCTGGGAATTAAAAGGTTAATACAGGGCACTGTAGGGCCCAGCTCCCACAGTTCCGATTGGTCAGTGCCTAGGCCCATGGACTGTCAGCCTGGGCGTTGCCCTGCAGAACTGAAATATTGGAGAGGGACACAGGGGACTCAGATGTCACCGGAAGGGGCTATTCCAATAAAATGTTGCAAAGTGCCCCATTTCCCGCCCCCGCACCCCCCACCATTACTGAAAGCCTTATAGCATGTTTACTGCTGCAGAATGAATAGAGCCGAGACCCTCACTTCCCCATCCCTGCTTCCCTCTTTAAATGACTGCCAGAGCCTGTGCTTCTGCAGGGCCGATTGCTTCTGGGAATTTGGGTGGCACAGGACCCCCTCTTGTGCTCTTGGCACCCCCACCCCATCGCCCATGCATACATAGCTGGGGCTAGAGGCTCAGTGATGGGGTGGGGGGACGTGGCAGAGGGCCAGGGCCTCCTGCCCTCATGCCATCTCCCTGCCCCCTGCAGAGCTGGCCAGGAGGTACCTGCAGCTCCTGAGGACCTCTGCCCAGCAGCGCTGTGGTGACAGACTCTCTGGGTCGGGGCAGCCTGACCTTGCCTCCCAGCAGCCCTACATCCCCCCGATCCTGCAGTGGGCGCGAGCCACAGTGCCCTTGGACGCTCAGCGGGGGGCTGGTATGGGAGACATCAAGGCAGAAGATGGCACTGACGTGAACATCTGGGACCTCTTCAATCCCAGGACCAAAAAGGGCCCAAGGGTGACAGTGCTCTTGGGGACGGCTGGCATGGGCAAGACCACGCTGGCCCACCGGCTCTGCCAGCAGTGGGCTGAGGGCCAGCTGGACCACTTCCAGGCCCTGTTCCTTTTTGAATTCCGCCAGCTCAACCTGCTGACAAGTTTCCTGACGCTGCCCCAGCTCCTTTTCGATCTGTACCTGCGCCCCGAGTCGGGCCCCGACGCCGTCTTCCAGTACCTGACGGAGAACGCGGGCCGAGTCCTGCTGGTCTTCGACGGGCTGGACGAGGCCCTCCAGCCCTGCTCCGGGGGGGACCCGGGGGCCCCCGAGGGCCTGGGCCCGGCCCTCACCCTCTTCTC